CATCACCTTCCTTTCTGTGTATCTTTTCTTCTCTGTGTATCCTATCCAATTACCTTTCGTCTTTCTGTAGAGACAGTTTTGATTACATGTAGACCCATCTGGGATAACTTTATCTGGGATGAAGTACTGTATCAGAAACTTTAATCACGTCCTCTATTCTCATAATGTAACATATACAAGCTCCAGTGTAGTGAGATATTCACCTCCTGCACCTGTGACCACGCCCAAATGGGTGTGGTCACAGGTGCAGGAGGAGAATATCTCACCATAGTCTAGGACTTAGGCTTTGATATAACTTGTTGGACATTATAAAGTTCACCAGAGTTGCTTATTATGAATATTGATAAATTTGTATGAAATGCTTAGAAACACTATTAGATACTGGATGTTTGTTGGTGTGATTATTCTTCTGGACTTGGAGATCTACTTCCTGGGCCAGACAGGACTTACTTCCTTGAAAAGCAGGATTCTGAGGAGGCCCAGCTGGATGGACACAGCTGGGATGCACCTGTCTCTATTTTGTGTTGTCCTTACCATGTTTGGTGCTGTGTGTGCAAAGGTAGTACAGGCATTCTCTTTAATGTGGGATATTCCAATGCCTACAGAATTTGTGACCTTGTGCAAATATTGGGAATTATTATAGGATTAAGGATTGACATTTACCTGTGTCTATCTTTAAATTGATTTTATATTTATTCAATTGATTTAGAGCAGTGGTTCTCCACCTTCCTAATGCTGTGATCCTTTAATACAGTTCCTCACGTGGTGGTGATTCCCAAGCATAAAATTATTTTTGTTGCTACTTTGTAAACTGTAATTTTGCTACTGTTATAATCATAATGCAAATATTTTTTTGAAGAGAAATTTACCAAAGGGGTCACAAGCCACAGGTTGAGAAACCCTGATTTAGAGAGGATTTATTTTGTAATGTTGTTTAATTCATTCATTTAGGCCCTGAACTTTGATGGTTTCCAAATAGATAGCTATTTCTCTGTTCTTCAGTGACAGCATATTGTTGTTTACATAAGGTGTGCTGTTAAATTACTAAGCTCTCAGATACATCTTCTCATGACACCCAGGGTAGGCATAGCTACCATGAAGCGACTGAGCTGCAATACCAGGATTTGGCCACTTGGTGGCGACTGTGATTAGATTTCTGAGATTTTATTTTGAGAAAATTAATTTTAAGGTAAGATTTCACTATTGGAAACTGTTAAAATTTCTATCATTTTTTACAATGATATTTTTAAGGACATTGTGAGTAGTGACATTAAGTAGCTTATTTGGTATTTTGGGGAGCTTATTTGGTATTTAGTGACTTCATAAATTTTGACTTTTAAAATATTTTAAAAATTTCTTTGTATGTAGCTTGACAGTTGGAATGATTTAAATTTCTGAAACTATCTAACTCAAACTTTTTGTTTTAATCATTTTTGAATTTTTAAATCAAGGATTTTGAGCAAATACAAAAATTGTTTCACCTACTGGTTTAACTTAGGAAGTATATGAAAACATTGAGGACCCTAGCACTTGTATTCTCCCTTTTGATTGTCCAATTCTAGTAAGTGTGTGTTTACATAGGACTAAAAAATAATTTTATAGAAATACTCTTTGAAATGAAAGAATCCTATTGATCAAATACAAACTCTACAGTTTTCTCAGTCTAGCTCTTACTAAAATTAATTAGAGGGCATTAGACTAAGGGGTTCTAAGACCCTGAGCTCTTCCTAACCTGAAACCAACTCAGCAGGAATTGAACTTATATTCTAGGAATGTGGGGCTGAAGTTGTCATAGTCAGAAACTACCAACTATCCTCAAACCAGGGCAAAAAAGGTATGTTTCCACCTTAAATAATGATGTATTTTCCTTTTCTCAAGTCTAGGAACTCTTTATGAAAGCTGCCAACTAGCCCCTTCCATGCTTGGTGCTGCTTGTCTTGCAGTGTGCTCCAATTCAACATTTACAGTTTTGCTCTGACAAAATTTACCCTTATGCACATGACAAAGGCATACTAAAGATTGTGTCAGAGTTCTACAAATCATTTCCAGTAAGGATCCTTTTTCCTATTTTTATGGTATATTTTCTCTCCATCTTTTTGCTTTCACTCTTGCTCCCTTTCCTTCTCTCTTCTCTTTTTTGTTTTCAAGCCAAGATCTTGCAATGTAGTCCAGGCTGATCTCAAACTTTGGATTCCTGATTTAGCTTCCCTGGTGTTGGGACGACAGGCATGTGCCACTGTGCCCAGATTTCTGGTATATTTTCTATTATCATGTTACCTTTTTTTTAAAAAAAAACAACAATGTTTGGTTTTTATTTATAGAAAATACACTTATCTCCTTCCCCAACAAATGCTGAGCATATGTTTCTAGAGTATCAGACTGAAACTACATTGTGTCATTAGTTTGTGCAGGAGATCACAGGACTCTGAGACACTGGTGTCTTCTTGTGTGCCTCTTCCACAGTCAGGACTTCTGCAGTGGTGGCCCTTGAAGACTGTCCGGCCCAGCTGTTTTCATGCTCTTTCAATAAACTCCAGGATGTCACCAACGTGCCACCAGCATGACTCCAGGTCTCTGCTAAGAAAGAGCCTCTCTTTCCACCCAGAAAAATGGCCACCTGGCAGGTCTGTGTTAGATCTAATTCTCCAAAGGGTTATGCTGGGTTTTCTTATATGTAGTGATTACTTCTCTCTCTCTTTTAATTAACAATTTTTAATTGATTCCTTGGGAATTTTCCAGTCCTTCCCTGTCCACCCTTCACCCTCATAGCCTTTTCCCCCAAAAAAGGAAAAAAAAAAGAAAAACATTTCACTTCTCCATCTTTCCTGCCTCTCCATCCCATACTCATTCCTCCTAGTGGTCTTAGGAACATTTCCTTGTAAATGTTCATTGCAATGAGTTGTGGGTATGGTTCGAGACCTCTGGCTTCTGGTATGCCATCAATACTGGACTGGCACCAAAACTTCTCTCCAATATCCGGCCTTGAGTCATGGAAATCCTGTGGCTATGGTTCTGCATTTCCAGTCCCTTCACACACTCCAGCAGGTCATAGATGGGGTAGACATGGGGTTGGGCCAACTCATAGTCCTGAAGGTGGGCCTACGTGGTAACTGAGTTGTTCAGTCCCAGTCTCCACCAGGACTATCCCTTTCAGGCAAGGGTCAGGGCCAGCTCTCCTGAGCCCAAGCCATGGGGGACCATTTTAGGGAGAGACCCTGGATACCTGTACCACTGACCATGCCTGTTTCATCAGCAGGGCCACGTACTGAGTGCTTGTCACTCCCTGGCTCCTGGGAAGGTCTGAGACTGGGGCCTCCTGCAGCCCTAACCAGGCCTTTCCCAAGTGGGGAGGTGAGTTCCCAGAGAGCAGGGCTCCATGTGTGGTCTATAGACCATCCCTCTCGTGCATGGTGGCTGGTAGGACCAGTTCTTCCTTTATGACAGCTGGTGAATAGGGGCAGACCGTTCTCCCAGGGCCATCAAAAGTTGGACCAATTCTCTCATGCCCATGCTATTGGGACCAGTTCTCCCTTGGATGGTGGTGGGGAGTGGGAGGCATGAGTTTTATGGGGCCCAGGACACCAGGGCCAGCTCTCCCATGGTCCCTGGTGGTAATACAGGCCAGGGACATCAACACAAACCCCAGCTGCAGTAGGACCATGGACCCAGACGTGGCCCTCAGACACAGCTCAGGACAGTGGCAGTGCAGGCCACTCAGATTAATATGGCCCCAGAAACAGCATGGCCCTCGGATATCAACATGGCCTCAGGTGGCAGCCCAGACTACTGGCATTCAAATGGCCCTTGGTGGTAATGCAGGTAGAGGATATCAACACAGATCGCAGCTGTGGTAGGGCCATGTACTATTTTTAAAGTTTATTTTTATGTTGCTGTCTTTCTGTTTGCAAAAACAAACTGAAGAATATAAAGACAGGATTTATACTCAATAACGATTAGTCTACTTTTATCAGAAATATGTTATTACAGTAAAAATAATAAAGACAATACAATCAGAGACCTCACTTTTCAGAAAACTCAGAATAAGAGATGAAAGCTTTTTGTTTTTCAAGACAGGGTTTCTTTGTATTTGCTTTGGAGTCTGCCCTGGAACTCAATCTGTAGACCAGGCTGGCCTCGAACTCAGGAAGATCTGCCTCTGCCTCCTGAGTGCTGGGATTAAAGGTCTCAATGCCCAGCTTGAGACATAAGTAAAGTTTTATGTGATTGAAATTTATTTTTAAAATGAGCTGGGAAATGTAGTGATTTTTCTCAAGTTTTTTGTTACTAATTTAAATAGAGTAAGAATGTACGGAGTACGAAGGACTCAAACACAGAATCGAGGACTGTAATCCAAAATTTCACTAATTCATACATGAACTGTATATAATTCAGCTATTTCATGTGCTTTAGAACAAAGGTTGGTATATCTATTTTAGAAGTTAGACTATTTCACCTATAGACAGCTAGATTCAAATTTACTCAGTGGGCCATGTTAATAAACAATGCCAAGAGCTTAAATAACACTTATGCTGCCTGAGGAACTGCTGTAACACATTTCCTAGCATTTCTAGTGGATAAATAGAATTCATAGCTTTGTGGACTTCTGTGTTTCTCAAGACCCAGACTACAGTTTCTTTGAAAGTGAGCATGGGAGGATGGGAGGGAAACAAACAAAACAACAGCAGTAATAACAACAACAACAAAAGGATTCTGGAGGTATTATCTTTCCAGGCCTCAAGAAAACATTACAGAGACATAGTAATTAAAAACAACATGGAACTGGCACAAAACAGACATGTAGACCAATGGAACAAAATGTAATATCAAACACTGTTGGGGATCCAGATGATCTGTGGTTCTTTCTCAGGCACAAACCTAGACGGACCCAGGCACAAAATAAAGATTCAGAGAAGTGTCTCCAGGGGGCAAAACAAGGCCACAAAGGCAAGGGAAGTGAAGAAGAAAGAACTCAAATAAGGGGCTTAAAGATGACTTTGCTGGTACTCTCTTTGGCAGCATGTATACTAAAGCTGGAACGATACAGAGATGATTTGCATGGCCCCTGAGCAAGGATGACATGCAAATTCATGAAGTGTTCCATATTTTTAGAAGAGGAGGGGTGAGGAAGACATGATGGGGTAGCGAGGTTGAGTCAGGGGAAGAACAGAAGAGAGCAAAATAAGATAATATAATAGAGGGAGACATTATAGGTTTAAAGAAAAATCAGGCACTAGGGAAATCTCTGGAGAGCTACAAAGAGGACACCAGCTAACAATCTAAGCAATAGAGGAGAGGCTACCTTAAATGTCCTTTCCTGATAATGAGATTGATGACTAATTCATATGCCATTGTATAGCCTTCATCCAGCAGCTGGTGGAATTAGAAGCAGATACCTACAACTAATCACTGAAATGAACTGGAATCCAGTTGCAGAGGAAGAGTGAAGAGCAAAGGAGTCTAGACCAGGCTGGTGAAACCCACAGAAATAGCTGACC